GGAACCTGATTGGTTTCTCTGCAGAGCTGCACCAGATTTTGCACTCTCCAGTTTTAGTAAATCTCTTGTAATAAAAGATTCTTATCTTCCTCCTCGCAAACTTCTCAATCTGTACACTGAGCTGCTGAGTTCTGGGATTAATTAACTCCTATGTGCATGCACATAGTCATGTCATCCTGGCCAGTTCAGTCAAGATGGCAGAACATCCTGCACTCAGAAGAAGCCGGCAAGAAGAAGTCAACGCTGGTAAGGGAGCTTGTGGACATTTCATTGCTGAAGGGGAGGTGAGTATAGTTTTGATTTAAAGAAACCTGTAGCATGTCACACATTTAGTGTGCCTTCCTTTTGAAAATGCTAGTTTCTAGGTGGTAATGCTGTCTGACTTCAATACTTTCTTGGTTTTTGACCCAGAACAAGTATGCAGATGTGGAGAACTGACTTCACTAGTTGCATACTTTTCTTGGGTTAGTAAGTACAAAATACTGAAGGCAGGACTTCATATGGCTATTCCTGAGCTGGGTGAATTAACTGAGCTGGAGCGCCACTCAAGCCAATATCTATCAATACAAAAAACATCACAGCCAATCCAAGCAGCCTTCCACTTTTCTCAACAGAGATGATCATGAAGAAGACTTGAAAGCTTTAGCACCCCAGCGACTGCTAGCTGGACAACCTAGGAACTCTTCTGCATGAGGCTAACACAAGAACAAACAGAGGCCGATACTCCCTACCATTTCCTAGCTAATAAAACCCTGATAGAGCCCTCTGCTTGGGACAGCCTGTGCTGTGGGGTCAAAGACTTGCCAAGTGTCCACCACTAACCACACCTAACATAATCTTTGCCAGACATTTCTAAGCAGATCCAAGAAACTAGGCAGCAATAAGGAGGTTGACACATTGGATGCTGAAAGACAAATCATTCATGGCCCAGATAGAGAGAATTGAGGACCTGAAGCCAAAGTACCAGAAATATGAGCCGGACAGTTCATTAATACAACGTTAATGCATATTAAGCTTACAAGCACTTTTTCAAAAGCAAAATAGCTTAGAATCCCAGAATTTAAGGTCTGCCAAAGTCTATTGCATCCTTAAAAGAAACACAACGTATTTGCAGATCTCTTTTTCCACAAGTCAACCAAAATACATTTCGTATTAGGAGGTACACAAAGAAACGTGGCTTCACAGGATTTTTTGATGCTTGGCCCTAATATTTGGCACAGCACAAGTTGTATTGAAAACACAGATCGGATATACAGTGCTCAGCATAAATAAGTACACCCCAACAGATTTGTCAGAAAAACCTTTATTTCCTTTCAGATACTATACTACAAAATACTCCCACAAATGCGGGCCATTGACTGCAAACAAAATTTGTTAATTTGCACACACAAAAAAGTATTTCTCTTAACATTCATTCAAGACCATGTTGCAAAAATGAATACACCCCAATGAAAGTCTTGTGAGCAAAGCTAAATTTTAGACAAAAAAATCTTAATTAACAAGAATCAACTACAGGTAAGTCTAATTATTCATTAAACAGGTGTCCAGCAGACAGTTGATTATAAAAGGGCGTTACTTAAAGAAAACCCCATCTCATTTCATGCTGTCAGCAATGACACCACATGGAAAAAAAGGCCTGAGAAAGAAAATAATTTCTTTACAAAAGAAAGTGAATGGTACAAGAAGATCAGCAAAGCTTTACTTATCAGTCGGAATACTGTAGAAAAGGAGTACAAAAATTTAACAAAGATGAAACTGCAACCATCTCACAGAGATGTCCAGGCTGTCCATGGAAGTTAACACCTCAACAGGAGAGTCTTCTGATGAGAAGGGTTGAAGAAAATTGCCATGCAAGTTTACTGCAGTTAGCTAAAGAAGTAGAAAGCCAAACTGGGGTGATTGTTTCATGTGACACAATATGGCTTACACTGCAGACGAATGTCATGTCGTCCACGAAGGAAGCCTCTCCTAAAGCCCATGCACAAAAAAGCCCACCTAGAATTTGCCAGGGCCCATGCTGAAAAAGAAGAACACTACTGGAACTCTGTACTCTAGAGTGATGAGACCAAGATAAATGATTTTGTAACTGATTGCTTCAAAACAGTATGGCATTGCAAAAGGTGAGGAATACAAAGAAAAATGATTGGTGTCTAGAGTGAAACATGGTGGTGGGCAGTGTTCTTCTGTGGGGCTGCATGAGTGCTGCTGGTGTCAGGGAGCTGCATTTTATTGATCGTATCATGAATTCTCAGATGTACTGCTCTGTATTGAAAGAAGATGCTACCATCACTCCATCCCCTTGGTCGTTGTGCACTTTTCCAACATGACAATGATCCAAAACACACATCTAAGGCCACTGTTGCATGTCTGAAGAACAGGATGAAAGTGATTCAGTGGCTTAGTATGTCTCCTGATCTGAACCCAATGGAACACCTATGGGGAATTCTGAAGAGACAAGTTGAGCATCACTCTCCATCCAGCATCCAGGTTCTAAAAGAGGTTGTTCTTGAAGAATGGAAAAAGATAGATGTCGCCAACTTGTTCAATGCATGCGAAGACTTGGTACTGTCCTTACAAATCATGGAGGTCATAAAAAATACTAGATGTAGTAGTTTTTGTTATGGAGTGTATTAATTTTTTTTCAACAACTAATTTGAGTAAAACTGAAGAATTTGTAATCTATGTTGTAGGATTGACCTTACTTTCATGTAATGAGCTAAACAAATGTTCTATAAAACTCAGTTTTGTTAACATTTTGGAAATTGTTCTTGTGTTCATTGAGATATTAATAAAATCTTATTATTCAAAAGGGGTGTACTCATTTATGCTGAGCACTGTAGACAAGATTGCCCTTTTTAACCTGTTAATTCACCAGAGCATATGCCTCCTACATAATTAGGAACCTGGAGGAAGCATGCCACAGACTTGGCAAAGACTGTGACCCGTCACCCCAGTTTGGTCCAAAGCTTTCTTGTACTTAGTTCTAGTATATATAGCCAACTATGCATCATTACAAGTGAAGGGATGGACAATGCTCAGCTGCATCCATCCCTTCACTTGTATTGACTGACACTTAAATCTCTCGGACTCATGCTCCCCTTCTCTTACTTGCCGGTGGGGTGATCTTTTACCTTCCATCTATATCTATAGTGGACTGACAACTCATGGGGCCCCTGGGCAATATGGGATCATGGGGCCCCTGTGTCCTTGCGCAAACTCAAAAAAGCCTATGAAAAAAGGTACCAGGGGCATCTCATGGGGCCCCTTACTGACCCCGGGCCCTCGGGCAGTGCCTGAGTTTCCAAATAGTCAGTCCGCCCCTGCTTTAAAACTATGCACCATACCGGATATTACAGTTTGGAAGCAGATTTATCATTATAGTGTTACTGACCCATTGTCATGCAATCTGTAGCTTCCTAAAGATGGCATCTCTATCATTACTAGCTAATCATGATGCCAATAACCAAAAATGTTTTACCACAGATTTATCTGATGAATAAAACACCAATGGGATCTGTTTCACCAATAAGCCATTTACAAAACGGCTGTTTATTCATTGTGTCTAAGATAAAAAGAAAGATCTGAATTTCAAAACAACGTGGAACAAAGTTTTCCATCTCACAGCTGCAAACTAGTAGTCCCCACCAGCTACATCCAGGATTCTGAGATTTATCTTCCTGCACTCTTAATGCACAAAACAGAAGCAAACTTTGTTGAATTCGGGCCACCTTCCATAGATGTTAAAAATAAAACTGGACAGAACATTAGCCACAAAAGATTTCATTAGCTCCCTTCTGCCTTTCTACGGAGCAAATATCCAAGAACATAAAAATCTATGCTTTAAATGAATGCTATTTATACCTGTAGCTATGGCAGCTAAAATGTATATAACAGCTAGGTGAAAAGCCCAGTTCTTTTAATGAAAAACAGAAATAATTCGACTGCAACTGCTAAAAATGTATTTATTCAGTTTTGATACAGCATGTTTTTTAAAAGAGCAGGCAGTCAAAGATTGATTACTACCACATGCATGGCTTATACTGGCATATCCCTCATACGAGGGTTCTTCAAAAAGTTTCTGAATTTTTTTTTTTAACTCTATTGCATCTATAAAAGTGCAGAAACTTTTTGAAGTTTGTGAAGACCCCTCGTATATTGCAAAACGTATTCTCAAATGACAAGTATGATTTAGTTTAGATGTTCATTTATAGGTTTCTTAATAGGTGTCCTGTAACCATTTTAATTAAGGGTTTTGACACTTTATTTTGGATTTTCTATTTAGAAAAGTTGTCTTTTTCTATTTTAATTGATTGTCCTTAAAAGGGACATTCTGCTATGGTTATGGCTGTATAATTTTATTATTTCCATTCCAACAGCTTTGGTGGGAAAAAATTATTGAAGGCAGAAGATTAGCAGCATAACCAGGAATTTTTAATGGGACAGCAGTGGAAGCATTTATAATTTTCCAGTGGCAGGATACTTATGAATGGGCCTAAAATAGAGCAGGCTTATAGACAAACAGAAAACCTTTAAGTCTATTTTTGTTTGATGCATTGCTAGGAGTTATTTAGCTGTTTTGATTTGATTTTTTTTTTATAATTTACTTTTTATTGATTTTAAAAATGTTTACAGCAAACAGAATTGCATAGAATAATAAAAATCATAAAAAAAAAAATAAAAAAAACATGCTCATTGATGAAAGGCATACAGGTACATACAATGCCAATACATAACAGTGAATTAGCCATCGTTTTCAGACAACTGAGCAGGCAAATCTGAAATTGAAAGATCCCACGGTTCCCAAATTGCATGCTAACTCTGTCCCCATTTTTGAGGCAAAGCAGTGAGGTACTGCATTCTTCTAATCTCTGCTATAACCTTCAACAATTCCAATCGTGTAGGAGGCGTAGTAGAAAGACAATGCATGGGAATGAATAAACCCTTTCATTTTGTACAGAGTTAGTATTTCTCACATTGATAAAGATTTGTTTTTTACTTACCTCACTGACCCGGTCTCGAGTGTTTGATAATGTTAGCAGTTCTTCATACCGCTGCTGATACAAATGAAGCAGTAACACAAGGTAGAGGCTTGGGTTTAGAGTAGCCTATATGTGTGGAGAAAGCATGTCACTGTATGCTTGTATAAACATTTATATGGAAAACACATTTATTTAAAGCTTCGATATTTTTTTTTGTCTATTGCACTAGCCTACTGGATAATTAATTCACTTTTAAAAAAGGGTAAGTTGTGGATAATCTGTGTGTTTACCTCAATGAGACAATATGCAATCTGTTGTAAGAGCAAATATATTCAGCTATATTTAATCATTAGTTTTATACTGTTGATGGGTAAATTGATTTGGCTTCATTATCATGCCAATGACATATTTGCAACAGTTACTGTATTTATGTTAAAATTTGTAAGAGTCTAGTCAGATGCTGAAGCTATTTATTGGAAGACAATGTGCTCATGATCTTGTTCATAACAATGGAAGAGATTGAAAGCATTTGGTGTCCACTTATAGCTTGGAGGAAACTAAAAGGGAACCTGTCAGGTTTCCAAACTAACAGAAACCAAACCTTGTTAAACTTCAGAATCAGTGTTCTGTGTGCCCAAGGGGCCTTTTGACTCTGAGCTAAGCCCTGCATCTAGCATTAGCTAGCTCATTTCAAGGGCCTCTTTAGCTTCTACAGTCTCTTAGCATTGCACTTAGAATTGCATAAGAAGTTGAGGCCTGTGTAGAACATGCACTCAAGACCTAGGTGCTCAGGTTCACTTTATGTTTTCTTGTGCTGATTCAAGCATTAAAGTTTCAAGATCCCATAAACATTCTTATTTTTCTTGGGGCCTAAACTGTTCTTAGAGAGAACAGTGGTGCTTACATCATGCTGAATTACCTGAGTTTCCTGATGTCTTCTGTAGTGTTCATCTACATCGAATTCTTCAAAGTTGCACTCCATGTTTTGTTTGCACATCTCACAGGTTTTTATAGCACTCAGCTCAGCTCCTAAAGTATGAAGGAATTATGGATTGAGAGACATTTCCTAAGGCTGACAGCTTATTTAGCAGGAAACATATCTCTAGCTTGTTGAAGTTCAAGTGAAACTGCAGGAGACAGTAGAAGGTGGTAAAAGTCTCCAAAGATTTCTGTTAACTTGCAGCAGAATGGGGCCATAAGGAATGAGGTCATAGACCTAGTATGTGTTTGCGTGTGTATCCACATGTCTGTGGTGGGGACATTACTTTGTAGGTTTTCACAGAGGCAATGATTGACTTTATTAGTTCTGTGTGCTCTATAAGCCATGGTTCACACCTGTGCGATTTGTCATTCAATTTGAAAGTTCGCATAACAAGTTGCACCCCACTTGTGGCAATGCAACCATTCAAATTGTTTGAAACTTTGGAAAAGACTGAAAAAATTCCTACACTATTTTTGTGCAGTTTCATTGTGACTTGCTATAACATCTGTTTAATAAAGTTGCAAGCTGTAATGAAATTGCACAAAAAAAATCGTGCTGATCATCAGCTTTTAAATCACGCTGAAGTAGTTTGACTTCAAAGCCACGCTGGTGTGAACCATGGCTAAACTGTTCAGAGTAAATTAAAACAGTAAATAGTAGTAGTAAGCACACAATTCTGAAGAATAAATCAAAGGCATAGTCTATAAGGGCCCTTTCACCTGGGTGGACTCCACCAAGTGGATCCGCCAGCTCAGTGGGGATCTGTCCTCTGATCCCTGCTGAGCAGGCAGATGACTCTGTCCAATCTGCATAAGGAGAGCGGACACGGACCTGACACAGCCTGCTGTTCTCTATGGGGCAGTCAGATATAAACAGTCTACTTTTCCGTTTACATCCGACTGTTATCCGAACCGCTAGACGCCCCATCCGCCATTTAGCAGATCAGATCAGATGCAGGCGAGTTTAGATAGACACATGTCCGTTTCCATCCGCCTCCCCGTAGAGAAGAAACGGGTGGTCCGATCGGATATGCCTGAAAATGGACAGGCTCAGTCTGCCTGTGTGAAAGGGCCCTAGAAGACCACTTTCTAATGCATTACTTTTTCTGTGAAATAAATGCAATGTAAACACAAGAAAGAAGGACCATCTCCTAGTCACTTTGGCAGGAGTGCAGAGCTTCAATCTCAGAGATTTCAGCAGTTTTACCTGATTGAAATAAGAAAGTGGATTGTGATTTCAGTATTTAATCTCTAAATCTGGCACTGAGCTTGCTTTGGCTTGTCTACCAGTTTTTTTTTTCCTGATATTCTGCAGCACTGAGATATCTGCTTCTGGAGTCTCAGGTCTGCCTAGCACTGCTTTTCTCCCAATGTAAGCCTATAGGAGTGCAAAAGCAATTTAAGAAGGAGGTCAATTGCTGGTCATACACACCTTCAGTGAATTCTGATTAATTTTAGAAGCATCCTATCAAAATATGCTGCATTTACTACTGAAACCCCTTCTATACCGGTCCTTAAAGCAGTATTAAATCCAAAACCAAAAATGTAATATATTGCAGCTTACCAATCATTATATGTGATGGCTGCATTAGTTTTATAGGCTTTTTCCCCTCTGTTTTCACCTGGTGATCTGTGACTACATTCTGGATGAAGAAGAAACAGATACACCTTTGGACAGCAACAGTATGGGGAGAGGGGAGTGTAAGATGTAATAGCAGATTAAGATACATTAAACAAATTGAAGCCAAGCTCCAGTTAACACTTTTTAAGCAGTTACAGCAACAGTTTTGTTCCTTTTGGAATAAATGTCTTACATCAATAAATAAAAGCCAATCAGTGTAAGCACCCCTGTCAGTGATAAATGGTTTGCCTCATCCCTCTAACTGCTACATCTTCAGGACAGCTTGTTCTGTTGAAAAACAACATGCTTACTGGCAGGATCACCAGGTAAAAATAAAAGACGAAAGCCTTAAAAAAAAGGAAATAAAACAAATGCAGCCATCACATCTAAGTATTGGTAAGCTGCAATATAATAAATGTTTGCTTTTGGGTTTAATACCACTTTAAGAGGATATGGAGCCTCTGTGGGATGTATGGTGTTAGGACTGAGACCAAGGAACAGAGATATTAGTGGCCTAGCCAGTGGAGTCCTCAAGTAATAACAAAAAAACCCAAGAGGGAAATTCAGATTTCACCCAGTACCCATATCATTTTTTGTGATGATCAGGCTGGTCAGTTAATTGGATCCTGTCTAAAACTGACCTCTAATTGTGTGTGTAAAAATTGGCTATGAATTTCTTATCACATTCTGTATGCCAGCCCAAAACTGAGAAATTGGAAAGACTTGTATAAGGAAAATTGCCAAAAAATTCTATGAAGAAAAGGTTTTCAAGCATTTCAAACATATGACTGAATGGATATTTACATACTTGTTTTAGACAACCAGTGTTGTAACATTTGTTTGTTTTTTTTTTTACTGCTCATTCTGTCCTCACCTGATTTAATTTTACTGAGCAGCCATTTCTTCATACATTCTTTATGCACATACTTCAAGCTCCCTTTGCATCTGCAAGGTGCTAAAAGTTGGTTTTCTGAGGTTTCATCTCCTGTAAGACAAATCCTGCACAGATCCCCTTCATCTTCTGAGTCTTCTTCTAATAAACTGGACGTGGATAGAAATATAAATGAACTCTGAAGACTTTTCTGTGTACATAAAGCAAACTTTCAACACTTTGCAATGAACAAGTAACAACCAACCCTGATCATGCTTTTTACATTATCTTTTTGTAGTTGAAAAATATTGTTGCAAGTTCAGTATGAGTCTCACAAATTACTAGATTCCAGCTTTAAGACTTAAAGTATACCTAAAGAAAAAAAACATTTTTTTTATATATATTTGGACAGAGTGAAGAGGGATTAGAATACCTGTCAGGCTTTTATTGCTGCCTGTGCCCCTGTCTGGGAGATCACCATCAATATTTGTCCTGTTTTCTGTTATCATTACAAACGACAATAAAAGAAAATTCCAAATTTGGGTTGTCATCTGAAGAGCAATAGAGATTAAACCTTCGAATGGGGACACTAGTTATGGCAACACTGCTGACAACCAGGAATTCCCTCACTTTGTAGATCTTTCCCCTCACCTCTTGTTTTGGTTACGGGATAGAAAGAAGAGAAAGCTCACCATAAGTCACAGATTGCAAAAATATACATATACATACGTGATTTTCATTTCCGCGTAGGGGGCGTACGCGCTCCCTACCTGCGCCGCTATTGGCTCCTCGGCATTTCAATCACTGGGTCCCTGCCGTCGATTCTCAGTCGGGACTCGGTGATTGTCGGCGGAGCTGACGGGAGAATTCTGTGTGTAAACAACACAGTTCTCTCCCGTCAGCACGAACATACTGCTTTGTAAATACAAAACAGCATGTTTAGATAGTAAAACACACAGCACACTGTTAACCTTTTGATCGCCCCAGATGTTAACCTCTTCCTGCCCAGTGTCATTAGTACAGTGACAGTGCTTTTTATTAGCACTGATGACTGTATTTATGTCACTGGGGATGTCAGTGGCAGTTAGTCAGTCCCCACCCAGTGTCAGAATGCCCGCCGCAGTCCCGCAAAAAGTCGCCAATCGCCTCCTAGTAATAAATAAATAAATATTCCAGTACATATACCGCCATTTGTAGACGCTATAATTTTCATGTAAACCAACTTACTTTACACGTATTGGGATTTTTTTTTTTTTTTTAGCAAAGTCATGTAGCAGAATACATTTTGTCCTAAATTTATGAAGAAATTTTAGTTGTTAAATTTTTTTACTGAATATGTTTTATAGCAAAAAGTCAAAAATATTCTTTTTTTTTTTCAAAATTGTCAGTCTTTTTTTGTTTATAGTGCAAAAAATAAAAATAAAAAACAGGTGATCAAATACCACCAAAAGAAAGTTCTATTTGTGGGGAAAAAATTACTTAAATTTAATTTATGTATAGCATTGCATGACCGCGCAATTGTCAGTTAAAATAATGCAGTGCCGTATCGCAAAGGGCAGGTGGCTAAAATGGTACATTTGATATGATTTCTATTTTGTATTGTGACTAAAATATGGGTTTTTGAGATTTGCAAATCATTGCATTCTGTTTTTATGTACATTTTACACAGCGTCTCAATTTTTTGGGAATTGGGGTTGTAAAACATTTTCCAGTAAACATAACTATAACATGACAATAACAGTGTGTCAGACCAATCTTGATATATCTGACCTGTCCCCTTAGTCATTACAGAACTAACATACATACATTTACCCAGGGGCGGACTGACCATTTGGAAACTCGGGCACTGCCTGAGGGCCCAGGGTCAGTAGGGGGCCCCATGAGATGCCCCTGGTACCTTTTTCATAGGCTTTTTTGAGTTTGGGCAAGGACACAGGGGCCCCATGATCCCCTATTGCTCAGGGGCCCAATGAGTTGTCAGTCCGCCGCTGCATTTACCCAAAGTGTAAGATAGCAATACAATATAGCAACATAATTGTTGGTATACAATACATACAAAATAGGGTTGCCCCAAAACCGATAACGGTGACGAAACTAAGCATTTGTACGAGTACTTGTACTTGTGCAAATGCTCTGATACCTAAAACCGATACTTATGTGGTGCGATTTGAGCCCATACAAAATGAATTCGCACTGTAAAGAATCACATGTGATCTGAACAGGAATGCCTGAGAATACCCTCTACTTCCTTCATCTCAGTCACATGGTGATACGTCTTAGTCCAGCCCCATGAGGAGAGTTAGGTGAACTGGCGACCAAGAACAGGAATCTGGTCGCAAATTTAGTTCATGGTAGGCCACGAATGTATATGGACCCTAATAGTAACATGTGGCCATTGATTATCTCAATGGATCCCATTTACTCTAAGTTTCACCAACATGTTCTATAATAATAGAAATTTGAAATTGGATCTCCTGTTTGTAGTGAAATGCAATTTATATACAGTGGGGCAAAAAAGTATTTAGTCAGCCACCAACTGTGCAAGTTCTCCCACTTAAAAAGATGAGAGGGCCTGTACTTGGCATCATAGGTAGACCTCAACTACGAGAGACAAAATGAGAAAAAAAAAATCCAGACAATCACATTGGCTGATTTGGAAAGAATTTATTTGCAAAATATGGTGGAAAATAGGTATTTGGTCACCTACAAACAAGCAAAATTTCTGGCTCTCACAGACCTTTACCTTCTTCTTTAAGAGGCTCCTCTGTCCTGCACTCATTACCTGTATCAATGGCACCTGTTTGAACTTGTTATCAGTATAAAAGACACCTATCCACAACCTCAAACAGTCACACTCCAAACTCCACTATGGTGAAGATCAAAGAGCTGTCGAAGGACACCAGAAACAAAATTGTAGACCTGCACCAGGCAGGAAAGACTGAATCTCCAATAGGCAAGCAGCTTGGTGTGAACAAATCAACTGTGGGAGCAATATTTAGAAAATGGAAGACATACAAGACCACTGATAATCTCCCTCGATCTGGAGCTCCACGCAAGATCTCACCCCGTGGGGTCAAAATGATCACAAGAACGGTGAACAAAAACCCCAGGACCACAAGGGGGGACCTAGTGAATGACCTGCAGAGAGCTGGGACCAACATAACAAAGGCTACCATCAGTAACACACTACGCACTACAGGGACTCAGATCCTGCAGTGCCAGACGTGTCCCCCTGCCTAAGCCAGTACATGTCGGCCCGTCTGAAGTTTGCTAGAGAGCATTTGGATGATCCAGAAGAGGATTGGGAGAATGTCATATGGTCAGATGAAACCAAAATAGAACTGTTTGATAGAAACACAACTTGTAGTGTTTGGAGGAGAGAGAATGCTGAGTTGCATCCAAAGAACACCATACCTACTGTGAAGCGTGGGGGTGGCAACATCATGCTTTAGGGCTGTTTTTCCGCAAAGGGACCAGGACGACTGATCCATGTACAGGACAGAATGAATGGGGCCATGTATCGTCAGATTTTGAGTGCAAACCTCCTTCCATCAACAAGGGCATTGAAGATGAAACATGGCTGGGTCTTCCAACATGACAATGATCCCAAACATACTGCCCGGGCAACGAAGGAGTGGCTTCGTAAGAAGCATTTCAAGGTCTTGCAGTGGCCTAGCCAGTCTCTAGATCTCAACCCCATAGAAAACCTTTGGAGGGAGTTGAAAGTCCGTGTTGCCCAGCGACAGCCCCAAAACATCACTGCTCTAGAGGAGATCTGCATGGAGGAATGGGCCAACATACCAGCAACAGTGTGTGCCAACCTTGTGAACACTTACAGGAAACGTTTGACCTCTGTCATTGCCAACAAAGGATATATAACAAAGTATTGAGATGAACTTTTGATATTGACCAAATACTTATTTTCAACCATAATTTGCAAATAATTCTTTCTAAATCAGCCAATGTGATTGTCTGGATTTTTTTTTCTCATTTTGTCTCTCATAGTTGAGGTCTACCTATGATGCCAATTACAGGCCTCTCTCATCTTTTTAAGTGGAAGAACTTGCACAATTGGTGGCTGACTAAATACGTTTTTGCCCCACTGTACCTAAATTCAGTTTCACAACGGATCCTTCTACAAATTACACTGATATGTCAAGAATGCTCACCTTTCCTGAATTTTTTTAAGCTTCTCAGGGTCCGGTTTGGGCTTCACATTCTCTTTTTCTGGTGTCGTGTTGATAATCCTTTCAGACTGTCTCTGCATGGAGATTGTATGGGCAATCAAATCAAGGTTCTCATGTAAAAGTGTAATGGTGGATTCTGTGGAAGACAGACTGGGTCTTAAAATAGCAACATGCGAGCCGGAAGATGCTTCACTGTTAGGTGTAGCCCTGGTTCTGCTTTCTTCTGTTCTAAAAGTTGTTTGGGGAAGAGAATGGTACTCATGGTTCTGCACATTCCTGGTATTTGAATTATTATCATGGAGCTGGGGTAGTGTGGTCTCTGCCACATGAGATAGTCTGTTATGTTCTTGAGTTGGGGGTGCTATTGCACCACCTATCCTTCGAAGCTCAATCATATCCCTCAAATTAAGAAAAGAAACTGGAGCATTATTTTGTGAACTGTCAGCAACTTGTGTAAGTGTTGCCCTTAATCCCAAACTTCTAGGTGATGTTAAGGGTGGCAGATTATTGGGATTTCTTACAGGACTTGTACTGGTAGTCTCTGCATTGAAGGCATGGTTTAGTCTCTGCATGACTGGATGCTCCTCAGTTTCTCTGTCACTGCGGGCTTCCTCATCTAACTCTAAAATGTTGTGTCTCCAAATACTGTGTTCACTGAGTGGTGTACTATAAGATTGGGGTCCCAGTGGCAAAGGCACACTACTTCTACTATCAGAAAGAGACACATTTTCATTATGTTCATCAATACTTGACTCTCTGTTTTCTACATCATCTTCAGTGTTTATTCCTGGAATTGTACTAAAGTTGTCATCACTTGCATAGATTGGAGACAGCCTGAAATTCATTGGTTCTGGGATTGATTGAAGATCTTCACTTTGTTCAAGTATTGGTGTAGAGGTTGTGGCCATGACTTGATCATGCTGACTGCTGTGTCTTCTCATGTTCTGCTCCAAACAAGGGGGTTGGTTTTCAGTTGTGCTTGCTTTCTCTTGTTCTGTAAACCTGTGTGTTTTATTCTCAACTAGACAGAAGAATATTGTTATTGGAAAAATCTATAGTTTTTTTTCAAAACACTTACGCTAGTCATACATACAACAATTTTCACCCAATTTTGATTTAGAATAAAAAACTGTTGGTGGTAGGTTGCCTCGATTCCTACAGTTGTTTTTTTTCCTTTGAGGGGGAGGAGGGGCAGAATAAATGTGAGTTATTGGTGTATCGATATATACAGTATATATATATATATATATATATATATATATATATATATATAAATAAAATTTAGTAAATCAAGTCTCAGACCTTGTCTAAAGCCAATGTAAATAAATAATCTATGTCCAATATCAAATGAATGGATGTTTTTTACGCTTTGCTCCTTTCCACAAAAACCTAGGGCCTGATGTTAGACCTTGAGTCGCACCTGCAGTGTTCATTTTAGCACTTTCTTCCTACCTACCTTGGTTCCATATCAATCAGTCTTCTGAATGAAAAATATTAACTTTTAAAAGTAACAGATTCTCTTTAAAATGAACCTATTACTACTTCAAAAGCTACAGGCTCCTTAACCACTGATCTACAAGTAGATTTTATGGCAAAAGAGACTCTGTTGTATTTACTAAAGCTGGCGGGTGCAAAATCAGGCTCACTTCTGCATAGAAACCAATCAGCTTCTACCCTCAGCTTGTTCAATTAAAACTTTGGCAATAAAACCTGGAAGCTGATTGGGTTCTATGCAGAAGTGAGCCTGATTTTGCACTCTCCAGCTTTAGTAAATAAACCCCTGTATGTCTGTTCTGCCAAAATCCCCTTTCCCTACCTGTTAACAATGTTCTTTCTATTTTTACATTGATTGCTTGGATTGCATATGTAAAGATACCCAGAGGAAGAGTTGGTTGGGAGGATGAAGTAGTGGGCATGCATAAGGCTTATGTCATCCATGGCTGGCCATTAGAGAAGGGAGAGGACTCCTGGCTCAGAAGAAGAGCGGGAGAAGATAGCTGTGGGGAACTGTGGATGTTGTATTGCTGGAAAAAAGGGCTCACTGAAAAGTAAGCCTGCCACAATGTGCAGGTATGCTGTGACAATGCCAGATAATATCAACTACATACTCAATGTGCAAATAATGCATGTGCATGTTCATGTAATCTCTTAGTTAACCTAAAATGGAAAAGCAGAAATGCGAGGAGATTGTTACTCTGACAGAACTGAGGGGGGGGGGGGGGTCAGTTAAACAGTTTATTTTTTTCTGATGACACTCATATACCTAAGAACTTTTGTACCATTTGTATTTGTTAGGTTAACATTCACCTCAAGATCGCATGTTTCTCGTAAAAGTTATCGTATGTCAATGGGAATCCTAATATCCAATTATATACACAAGGTAATGGGCAGTAAACAATGCTTAGAAACCAAGAAATTACACTTCTTGGTTTGCCGGTTAATGCTGGGGGTTATTTACTAAAACCGGAGAGTGCAAATCTGATGTCGCTCTGCATAGAAACCAATCAGCTTCCAGGTTTTTTTTTTGACTACCATGTATAGCTGCACCAGATTCTGAGTGCTCCAGTTTTGGTAAATCTCCCCATTGTGTCACAAGTGTGATAATACTGATAGGAGCAGGACAGTAACATGAGATGGCAAAACTGGTTCCCTTGGTTCCTTGCAATTTGGTGCCACTGTAACTCTGCGTTTTACTTCTTGTGGCATTTCCATAGTGTGTGTGACACTGGACTTCCAAGAAGGTGTAACAATAGAACGTGTAACATTAGAAGCAGCACATTAATATGAGATGACAAACCTGGCTGACACAAGTAAAGCTGAGACTCACCTTGCTTCCTTGGTTCTTTAGGGGTTTTTTTGCCACTCTCTCCGCCTTGTGGCATTACTAAAATGTGTGATATTGGACTCCGCGGAAAGCTGTCTTGCATGTACTCTTTTCTTTTCCACTGTAATACGTGGTTGAGAAACTAGCAGCATGAAAAAAATGAAATAAAAATTAATTGAAAATGCTTTTCATATGTCACTGTCTTGCTGGATCCCTGAGGCTGCATGCTCCTTGACACCTCTCACATCAAAGATTTTTTATGTGCATGCTTAGATTTGTAACACCAGTTTGCCATTTGACATTTCACTTATGGGAGCTGCTGTCCCCCTGTCATATGGAATTGTATAGTATTGCAGAAAAAGAAGGTTACAAAAATTATCAGGCAGAAGAAAAAATTGGCACTAGATTACATTCCTTACTTGCAAACCAGCGACAAACCCGTACATTACTGGACTTCAAGCAGTTATACCGGGGTGATGCTTGCAGCTGCCTTCTTTTTGAGCCGGCGGTCAGCTCTCTTGTAAAAGCAATCGGAGCGTCTAGCTAGTCGCTCAATAGCTTTTACAAGCAGCAGGAGGAGCCACCTTCCACAGCTCTCTTGGGCTATCCCGTCCCACCTTTGAGACCCCAGTGACCTGTTAGCATGTCATATACAGTTGCAAGAAAAAGTATGTGAACCCCTTGGGATTACGTGGAGTTTTGCATGAATTGGGCATAAAATGTACTCTGAACGTCATCTAAGTCACAACAACAGAAGAACACAGTCTGCTGAACATAATACTACACAAACATTAGATGTTGCCATGATTTAATTGCACATAACATGTAAACATTCACAGTGCAGAGAGGAAAAAGTATGTGAGGCCCTAGCTTAATGACTTCTCCCAGAGCTAATTGGAGCCAAGAGTGAGCCAACCTTGACTCCAATCAGTGTGATGACATTGGATGTGTTGCTGACAGCTGTCCTGACCTTAAAAAAACACACACCTGTTTTGGGTTTACTGGTTTCAAGAAGCACTGTCTGATGTGAACCATGCCTCACAGAAAAGAGCTCTCAGAAGACCTACGATCAAGAATTGTTGACTTGCATGAAGCTGGAAAGGGTTTACAAAAGTATGTCCAAAAGCCTTGATGTTCATGTGTCCACGGTAAGACAGACTGTCTACAAATGGAGAAAGTTTAGCACTGTTGCTACTCTCCCTAGGCATGGTCGTCCTGTAAAAATGACTGCAAGAGCACAGCGCAGAATGCTGCATGAGGTAAAGAAGAATCCCAGAGTGTCAGCTAAAGACCTACAGAAATCTCTGGCACATGCTAACATTTTTGTTGACACATCTACAAGAAGGAAAACATTAAACAAGAATGGAGTACATGGGAGGAGACCACGGAGGAAGCCATTGCTGTCCAAAAAGAATATTGCAGCACGTTTGAAGTTTGCAAAAGAGCACCTGGATGTTCCACAGCACTACTGGCAAAATATACTGTGGACAGATGAAACCAAGATTGAGTTGTTTTGGGAAGAACACACAACACTATGTGTGGAGAAAAAAAGGCACAGCACACCAACATCAAAACCTCATCCCCACTGTAAAACATGGCGGAGGGAGCATCATGGTTTGGGGCTGCTTTGCTGCCTCAGGGCCTGGACGGATTGTTGTCATTGATGGGAAAATGAATTCCAGAGTTTATCAAGACATTTTGCAGGAAAACGTACGACCATCTGTCCGCCAACTGAAGCTCCGCAGAGGATGGGTGATGCAACAGGACAATGACCCAAAGCATACAAGTAATTCAACAAAACAATGGCTGCAACAGCACAGAATACGCCTTCTGGAGTGGCCCAGTCAGAGTCCTGACCTCAACCCGATTGAAATGCTGTGGCATGACCTTAAGAGAGCGATTCACACCAGACATCCCAAGAATATTGCTACACTGAAATAGTTTTGTGAAGAGGAGTGGTCCAAAATTACTCCAGATTGTTGTGCAGGTCTGATCTGCAACTACAGGAAACGTTTGGTTGAGGTTATTGCTGCCAAAGGAGGGTCAACCAATTATTAAGTCCAAAGGTTCACATACTTTTTCCTCCCTGCACTGTGAATGTTTACATGTTATGTGCAATTAAACCATGGCAACATCTAATGTTTGTGTAGTATTATGTTCAGCAGACTGTGTTCTTCTATTGTTGTGACTTAGATGACGTTCAGAGCACATTTTATGCCCAATTCATGCAAAACTCCACGTAATCCCAAGGGGTTCACATACTTTTTCTTGCAACTGTATATATATGAAGTCCTAACACTAACACCAGAGACACAAAAATTCTTCAGCATGTTTTGAAGCACAATATTTTATTGTGTACATTAGAAATTTATTCTAACATGGCAGTGGTGCAATACTCATCTTACCTGTATATGATTTCTGTGTTTTGTTTACTGTACTAGAATGTAATACGGCTTTCTTTCTTATAGGTTCCTTGTCTTTTTTTATAGAGGGTAGTTTGGACACAGTGCTGGTGTACTGATGTTCTATGTGGCAATTCTTTTCTTCTAGCCTCCCAGAAATCTGTATGGCAGAAGACAATTAATAAAAAAAATAATGAATTACGTTCCAGGAAAAAATTGTTGCAGTTAAAGGGTGGGTGAAGTTTTTTTCAGTTATTTTTTACATAGACTACAGGTGAAACTCAAAAAAATTTGAATATCGTGCAAAAGTTCATTTATTTCAGTAATGCAACTTAAAAGGTGAATCTAATATATGAGATATGTGAATAATACGAACACCCCAAACATTAAACAATACCCTCCCCAGAAAAGATAAGAAAACTACTTTCACTCTTGAAAGTGATATAATCAGCAAAGAATTCTTTTCATATCCCCTCTATACCTCTTCTCCACCAAAGTTAAAAAATCCCTTTGATGACAAAGTCCAGGAAGTGACGAAACGCGTCGGGACACGTGACGTATGACGCAATTACGCTAGACCGGACGTAGGTGTGCAGCCATCTTTGAGTAGGGAAAATGCGATTTTCTCCAGGAAAGTGCCTGTCCATGTGCTAAACAAGCTGAAAGCTGGAGTTTTTTTATGTAAGTGGATGTAATAAAAGTGTTGTACCTTTATTACTCAGTCTCTAACTGCCTATATTCACCTTATGAGGGATATGGAGATATACCGAAGGATATGGGTATACGTGTAATAGAAGTTTGAGAAAATTGTGCAGTTATCTACTATTCCAGAAAGCGGATTATTACCTCCATAGGGTAATTGTTCATTTGCAGCACCAGTTTGGAGTGATCACCTTTACACTGGTGGATTTGATTCACATTTTTGAGTATTGGTTGCAGTGTGCTGAGTTCACTGTCACATTATATAGATGCACTTGGTATATGTTTCGAGATATAATTTTGGTGCACATTTAGAGCATATATATAGATTATAGATAAACATTTTTTTTTTTGTTCTCTCTTTCACTGCTTAAACACTTTGTGTTGGAGTATGCATGACACATAGTGCACAAATACATTTTTGTTATAAGATAATACACTATTTGCGATTTATATATTTTTTGAGGTTTGTTCTACTGGATCATCGTATTGGAAATTCTATATAAAATATCACAAGGAGAAGTGATAGAAGTGAAGAAAAAGTTTTTTGGACTTGTTGCATATAGAAGAAGGACACTTTTTGGGACACTAAGTTTATTTATTTATTTTATATTTTTTATTTGATTCTAATTCATTGTATTGGATTTTCATTTATTTAATTTTTTTATTTTTATGTTGGTTGTCGAAAGATGTGCATTTGGGGTAATTAAGATTACATATTTAACTTTGGTGGAGAAGAGGTATAGAGGGGATATGAAAATAATTCTTTGCTGATAATATATGAGATAGACACATTACATGCACAGCAAGATAGTTCAAGCCGTGATTTGTCATAATTGTGATGATTATGGCCTACAGCTCATGAAAACCCCAAATCCACAATCTCAGAAAATCAGAATATTGTGAAAAGGTGCAATATTCTAGGCTCAAAGTGTCCCACTCTAATCAGCTAATTGGGGAGCCATGTCATCTGCTGGTGTAGATCCACTGTGCTTCATTAAGTCCAGGGTCAACGCAGCCGTCTAGCAGGAGATTTTGGAGCACTTCATGCTTCCTTCCGCAGACGAGCTTTATGGGGATGCTGACTTCATTTTCCAGCAGGACTTGGCACCTGCCCACACTGCCAAAAGCACCAAAACCTGGTTCAAAACCTGGTTCAATGACCGTAGGATTACTGTGCTTGATTGGCCAGCAAACTCGCCTGACCTGAACCCCATAGAGAATCTATGGGGCATTGCCAAGAGAAAGATGAGACATGAGACCAAACAATGCAGAAGAGCTGAAGGCTGCTATTGAAGCATCCTAATCTTCCATAACACCTCAGCAGTGCCACAGGCTGATAGCTTCCATGCCACGCCACATTGAGGCAGTAATTGCTGCAAAAGGGGCCCAAACCAAGTACTGAGTACATATGCATGCTTATACTTTTCACAGGTCCGATATTGTTCTATGTACAATCCTTGTTTTATTGATTGCATGTAATATTCTAATATCTGAGATTGTGGATTTGGGGGTTTCATGAGCTGTAAGCCATAATCATCACAATTATGACAAATCATGGCTTGAACTATCTTGCTTTGCATGTAATGAGTCTATCTCATATATTAGTTTCACCTTTTAAGTTGCATTACTGAAATAAATGAACTTTTGCACGATATTCTAATTTTTCGTTTCACCTGTATATTGTCTGATGGCATGTCCCGTGCTGGGAGCTGTTGTTCCCTCCAATTACCACATCATTGCTATGTGGAAAGTGGAAAAGCATCCGACAAAACCTACACCATCTTACACAGTGTTTAGGAAAAAAAAGAATATTAAACTACAGTAAAACATTGCAATAATAGGTTACTGAAAAAATACAAAATTTTATTTTTGATTTTGAAGATGCTTCAGTTTCTCTGTGGCTATTTCTCATTCTGCAGCCATCTGCCTTGCTGGCTACTTCTCTGTAGTTGCCATTCACTTCTGGATAGTCTTGAATCTTGGCATGTTAAAAGGCAGACCAGTGTGTTCTGTGGTTTAGGCATTACCTTCTATATGAGCCCACAGCAAATTTATCTCCACACACATGAAAATGAGATTACAACCTTGAATCATGTGCTACAATTAATCACCCACAACATCACTGGCTTCACATTTAATAATCTCACTCTCTATTTTAGTCTAGTGCAGTGATTAGCACTTAAATGTGTTCACAATGTATTAAATTAACAGATTCCTTTTGTGTTTGCTGTTTTTTTTTTTCTTATTTTGTGTAGGTGTCTGAGTTGTTTGCTGGTATAACTAAAAAAAACAAGAGATACATTTTCCATAAAAATGTCATGCAGATCTTAATTTCAGTTATGCAAATCAGTTTGTCTATGAAAAGGAAAAACATGTACGGTAGTCTTTTCATATAAGCTGTATACTGAGGTACAAAGCCATCTATATATTTTGATCGTTGTATCCCACAGTACTCCCCAAATGAAAGCAAAGCTATGGGCAAAATCCTAAATCACAAATATGATGCAGACTACTGCTTGCATTAACACAGCAGTTTTTATTTTTATGAATCCTGTAACAGTTTTATTACTTTTTATTTTTCATTTCCTTTAACTGTCTGATAATATTGTTCCTTCTGCTCTGCAGCTGCATTGTCATCCTGTGGACAGGGTAGTCTTATATTGAAATGTAGTTTTGCCTGGACTTTAAGTAACTACAAATAAGTTAACTCTAGATAAACATTTAAGCAGCTAAAGCAGCAATGCTTTTTGAAGAATAGGATTAAAACATATAAATATATGCTGACTATTGTAAGCACCCCGTCAGTGTTGTGTGGTTTGTTTGCTAGCTGAACCAGAGAAATCCAATCATTTCCTCCCTTTATGCTAAACAGCATGGATGAAGCAATCTTCCCTGCCGGCTACCATACTTAGCAACCATCAGAACTTGCGGCTGCTGAATACCCAAACAGTGTCTGCTTCTCATTGGAAGTAGTCACTGTTTGCCTGACAACTTTTCAGCTGGCTCTTTCGACTATTGTCAAGCCTGGTGGTGCTAACATTGCTACTCAGAGCCCAAATTTTAGCCAACCATGGAGGAATCTGATGATATTTGAAATGTGTATGGCCAGTTTAAAGACAGCCAATTCATGGATCAAAATTTGTCCAGTTCAGCAGGGACTGAATTTTGATCTTTGTATGGGCAAGCTGATTGCACAGAAGTCGTTCTACTGATGGACTTCTGTACAACCAGCCTGTTAGAAAAAATCTGCATGATCAGCGCTGACAGCTATAACCAGCAGCACTGATCAGTGTATTCTGAAGGTGGGGAAGTCTCCTCACTGTCAGTGTAGAACAGCTTAGCGGGAGTAACTCCCCTATCCACCTTGAATGTGTGAATGGGGGGAATCGGGTCATTTGTTTTTGTTGAACCCTGCTGAATGTTGAATGAAAAAAAAAAAAAATGTTCTTCTGCTTTGCAGGATCCCAAATCTTTATGGCTGCCTGCCTTAGGGTGGGGTTTTTTTTTCTGCTGTCTAGGCCCTTTTGAGGACATTTGCCCAATGTGACACTGGTTCAGTTTCCATGTGAGAAAAAAAAAAAACTGGGGATTTAACCCTTTCAAAATCTATCCAAAGCAAATGCTTTGGATTTTCCAGCTCCCCTTCTGTTGGGCCAGTGGGGACAGATGCAGTGTCCCTGAGAGGGGTCTTAACACAGTGTCTAACACCTAGTCCTGTCATCTGTAGTCAAGCAACTTGACATCACTGCTCAATACAGAAGCCAGCACTTAGGACAGCTCCATTTTAACCACCTCTGGGACCAGAAATGAGAGGTGCTCAGTAATAGCAAAGTATGGCACTGTCTGTGACTGAGGTTTGGAGAGGAAGACTGGACAAGCGAGTAGGTGCTGTTCTAGATGATCCTTCTGCCATATAAATACTACTACTGACTAGCCCTGAGAAAACACTAATACAGCAGGTTTACTATATGCATGCACAGAACAGGTTCATTTTTATGCATGTGGGGTCTTTCCACCATTTCTTTTCTGTTAATGTTAATGTCTACAGTTCTCTTTTAAAACTATAGGAACAGTGTTTACTCATGTACCGTTACAACCATTGTTTTGTTGTTGTTTTTCCTTTCTTTTTCTTTAGCCCCACAAGTACACCTCCCCTAAATTTGTTCACATTAGTAAAGTTAAACTGCATATGTAGCATATAAACTGCTTTCATGAACATGTACACACTTTGACATGCTACATGTGCAATACACTCATTGCTCAATATACTGTATGTATACATTAAGGGCTGGGGGGAAGGGGGTGGGCAGGAGGAGCAGCTGTGAGTGAATTATGTTTTGACAT